CGGAACGTCCGGAACAGACGTGGTTTGGGGCCGTATCGGAGGCAAACATTGTGAATTGTACGAAGAATTGGAACTCGATCATCATGAAGTAAGTAAAAATTATTTCCTTAGAATGGCAAGAGTATTCGCTGCTGGTTACTTGCAATATTTTATTTGGTAATAAGTGATAGGAAACATTTATTAGCTCTCCGCATCCGGACCGCATCCGGACCGCATCCGGACCGGATGCGGCCAGCGTGCGGCGACATTCCGGACGGACTCCGGACGGAATTCCGTCGCAGTGGACGGCGGCCTTTAGCAATCGCTGCCACAGATTCAAAGCATCATTCAGTCGGTGTAGCTACGCGAGCATTGGAATTTTTCTGAGGTAAGGCCACTTGACGTGACCTGGTGACCTGACCTTGAATGACCCGGATCTGAAATTTTTACCGATGTGCGGAAAAGATGTATGAACAGGTGTGCCAAGAACGGCGGCGCTGCGCTCCGCTGTTTTTTTTTTTACGGAGCGAGCGAAGCGAGCGGAGTCTCATACTGAATTAAGGGAAAATCCTGAGTATGAGCGGCCGGCCGGCCGGCCGTGGGGACGCTCTTCAAAAGCTAATATCTTAGGAACGGGACATCCGATTGACAAGCGGTCTTCTTTACTGAATGTCACTTGGACGTAAAAGTTCTGTGGTGTGATGGCCACCATGCGTTCTTGCCAACCACCGCACGTGGCGCGTGGTAAAGTTGGACATTTTTTAAGAACCCCCAAAATTGCAACCTCAATAACGGCACAACGGTTGGGCCAAGGCTATAAAACTCCGGGTTGGGCCGATTGAATTGAAACTCGGTACACAGTTAGGTCTCCATCAGATAATTCATCTGCATGTGTTCAGGTTGGGGTGCTACAGCACGTGCGCACGTGCAGGGGGCGCTCCCAGATCTCGAGAACGGCTGGGCCGATTGCGCTCAAATTTGGTACACGGTTGGGGATCAGTTATGTAGTAGGGTGCCGTGCAAAAGTCAGGTTGGACCCCGCTTGCACGTGCGCACGTGCAGTGTGCCGCTTCCAGATCTCGAGAACGGCTAGGCCGATTGCGCTGAAATTTGGCACATCGCTAAAGACCGGTTAGTAGGGTGCAGTGCACAAGTTAGTTGGAGGTACCCCCTCGCAATTTCGCACGTGCAAGGCCCGTCCTCTCGCTCGCTCCGTTGGTCGCCCCAAAAGGCGTTTTACTGGTTATAGATATTCGCGAAAAATCCGAGGGGGGTTGGGCGTAAAAACACCCACCCCTTCGTCAGCACCGTGCAGAATAATTTAGCATCATAAGCGATTCATATTTCATAAGCTGTTCACCTGAAAAGCCACAAGCGAGAGCTTTAGTTACAGTCGCGCTTGTCCCCATTTATAAGGAAGGCATATGCTGGAGAACGATTATAGACCATTGCTGAGCATTTTGTGTGTTTTAGTCATAATTTGTCTGACAATAACCGTTAACATACCTCACAATTCACACTCAAAGGGTTACCTCTCTTAATCTTTTATCAGAATTGACAAAGCCCTTGAGTTTATGCATATTTAAGGGATAACCCATTAAAGCTGTGTCCAAGGCCATATAAACGACTGTGTCTCCATACAGCAGTGCAGAACAATGAACAATGAAATATGTAGGCTGTAGGTAGGTAGATACATACGTACAGCCCACCGCTAAAGTAATGTAGGGTTTTACCAATCTCAACGGTTGGCTTTGACTGGCGATTGTATAATGCGGAGTGATCGAAAAGAAGATGTCAATAGCTAAAGTTGCAGCTGCAAGGGTGACGATACATATAAGCTACATTCAAAGTTTCATTGTAGTCTGGCTAATCGTTCCTAAGCTTCAGAAGCAGAACATACCCATGACTGAAACCCCACATTACTTCTGCTGTGGACTGTACATACCTATACCTATCTATATGTGGCATAAGTACTATGTACAAGCTACCCTCACCAGCTACGGCCTTTTTCATCCACGATGCCAAAAGGCTATTCGCCGCTCTCGCAATCAAGAACTTATAGTGAAAAATGACGCGCTGCTTCTACGTATAGTTAGAGGGGAACGGTGCCCGACGGTTAGTTTCCAAGCTAGCCGGTAGCCGTACAGCTTATATACAGATTCTTTCGGCTGCCAGAACATCGCATGCGAGAGCCCATTTAAATAAATCACTCGCTTGCATCGGTTGCAGGCACCTCTGTCCGTACCATTGATGCACCATGCTTGACGGTGTTCACGTCCTGTTTCAACGTTTGTAGCACACTTGATGGACGCAATGTTTGTCGTAATGATCCTAGGATTCCTCGATTCAACATGATTAATGCAGAGCATGTCTGTCACAATACGAGCGCAAAGTTCCGTACCGCGCCGACCAGCTAACCAACTGCAAATGTGCGCTATACTTGTATGGTGGCTAAGGTTTACTGATACACGGGCTGATAGTAATGTGATTTGCGAGTTCAATGCATTATATATCGAAGCTGTTATTCATGCATCGTTCGCACAGCACGACTATTCACGGTCTATGTAGCGTTAAGCTTCAGTGATATGACCATTGCATAGCGCTCTATACACGAATAGAAAAGACGTTGGTGTGACGGCACACATGTAGGTAGGCATGACAGTTGCAGCGTAGCCTGGACATTACGAGTGGGCGCGAAGTTAAGTCTTTAGTAGGAGGAAAATCTGAGTGTTGAATGCGTGGTCACGCTTTTGGGAGGATTAGAAGTAGGGGAGAGTGGGGCACATTCGTGCAAAAAAAGGATAAATCCATATATCTGTTCTTTGGTTGGTGCAATGGCCAGTAGCGGCGGAACACCTTCAATTAAGGGGGGACACTGCCGACTTTTGGTCCCATTCTTTCCATGCAACGCCCATAGGGCTAATGTTAAAGGTGTCATGCGTCCTCGGACCATCTTTGTGACCCCACAATAATAAACCAATAGGGATAAGAACTGTCTCCCCCTTAAACGAACGCGTCAAAACCACAGAATCTTTCAGATCATAACATATATTTGCCCATACACAATGGAAGGTTGCAACTAATGGCCAGCAGTCACTCGAAAGGTCAAATTTCAGGTCGTAAAATGAAAAGCATGTTAGGTGTTGGGCTCATCAATACAGATCGAAGGTTAAAGGTTACACTGGGGCGAAGGTTAAAGGACTATCGAATGCTTCGCTTTTCCGCGACTACAGCTGTTTTGGCTCACGAGCTTTAGCACCGATTTTCGAAAACTGATCAAAATCGGGGAAAAATTATAGGCAAATTCTAACCTCCAGTGACATCAGCGTTGATTTGACTGAAAAATGAACTTTATAATTCTGAAAGAACTGAGTTGGAGCTACCGATTACTTTTCCGCATCTTTATTCGAAATAATCAGGTGCAGCCGAAAGCCCCCCCCCCCCCCCCCACGGCGAAGCTGGCTGAGATCCACACCAGAGCATAGGCGGCGGAACGGTAGGTAAACCCCATTGGAACCTACCAGGGGTCCGCCTTGGGGCCCCTCATGTATACCATCTATGCGGCAGACATGCCCCTGTACCAGGACGCAGACGTCGCGCACGACAGGTGCTTAGTGCAATATGCCGACGATGTACAGATGGCGGTGTTTGGAAGTCCCCGAGATAGTGGCGCGATGGTCCGCAACTTAGAGTTAGATCTGGCAGCTCTATCACTTTGGTTTCGGAAAAATGGACTTAAGGTGAATGCGAACAAAACCCAGCTCATTGTCATGGGCACTGGACCGAACCTCCGTGCGATGCCCGAGATACAGGTGGAGTTCATGGGCGCCACTATTAGGTACGGAATCGAGCACGGTCAAAAACCTAGGCGTGATTTTCGACCGGAGTATGACGTTCTCGGCGCATGTCAGCGATGTGGTGCGGCGCTGTACTGGCTTACTCAGTGGACTGAGCCACAGCAGACACGCCCTCCCCCAAAACACGCTCATCACCATTGTACAGTCGCTCGTGCTATCCGCCATACGATACTGTATTAGTGTGTACGGTGTATGCGGCATCACCCAGACAGCTCGGCTGCAGAAGCTGCTGAACTTTGGCGCACGTGTCATCTCGGGACGTCGGAAATACGACCATATTAGTGACGTACTGAGGGACCTGAGGTGGATGTCAGCCGCCAACATGTACAGGTACCACTCGATGACCCTGTTGAAGCAGATGCTGTCCACCGGCCAACCAGAGCAACTGCACGGCAGTCTGGTGACACGCGGTGATGTTCACCACCGTGACACCAGGCAGGCCGGCCAGCTCCACAGGCCCGCGATACGCTCTGAGTCTGGCCGCCGGCGGTTTCTGTTCGCCGCCGTCGCGGAGTATAATACCCTGCCGCAATGTCTCCGAGATATGGGACCGCGGCAGTTTAGAGCAAACCTCCGAGATCACCTGATAACAAACCAGTATAGCAGCGGTTAGCTGGCTGTCGGACGCAGACTGAATGGAATGTTATGTGCGTGCGTGTGTTTTTATCATCTCTCTCGTCATTATGACATGTCAATCATAATAGCCATGAGTCCATGGAACGATTGCGCAATGTGAATACAATACAATACAATACAACGGAGAGGGCACCGGGCCCCGGGGCAACGTGCCCCCTTCGATTTTGGCATTTAACATGCCCCCATGGGCGTTGCATGGAAAGAATGGGACCAAAAGTCGGCAGTGCCCCCCCCCCCCTTAATTGAAGGTGTTTCGCCGCTATGCACCAGAGAGAGGGTCAACTAGCTTCATTAAATATACAAAGGAGTAATTCAAGACCTGTCTTTGCAGGGGAGAACAAGTGCAGTGGGGTCTACACCACACCGAATGACTACACCTAATAACGAAATTCGTGCAACTCGTGCAGTACTAAAACTTATTTTCCCCGTTATCTTTTTAGATCTCGATCCTTCTCGATCGAAGATCTATTCTCTCAAGGTACTTGTGACGTTATCATGCCAGAATTCGTGACGTCACATCAGCCTTTTTTACGCGCAATCCGGTCGGTTCCAGAGCCGCAGTTGGCACATGAATTTCTGAGGCCAGTCGCAGTCTGTGTCATCCCAGGCGTTTTGCCATATCTGCATGCAGTTAACCGTTGAACGATTGTTGGGCTCCCCGGCACCCCAGAAAGGGATGTCCACGGTCGTCATGGGCTCTCCTCCGTCCTCTGCCACGAACACTCCGTCCTCGCCATGCTCCGACAGTCCGATCCAGGCGTCAACTCCAGCCGCCATGGTCAGAACGCACTGGTTCTCCTCTGCAGAGCGGGGCACGGCCAGGTGGGCGCCCAGCGAGACGCAGGCGGCTTTAGCTTCGGTGAAGCCGAGCTCCTGAGGGGGTCGGATCAGACAGCGGCCGGCACAGCGGCTGAAGTCACCCGGACAGGCGCAAGACACCGTAGAGCCATCTGCAAACAGTCCAACATTCAACAGTCTCACATAGTGACATGCATGGGAATCCATTTCATTAACGGAGAAAATCCGAGTCCATGCCGTCATATGATGATAGTATCTGTCTGTATTATTTGCAAGGAATAGCCGAATAAGTAAGAACTTGAGAAGCAATTTAGACTACGAATACCTACATTATTAAGGGTTACCCCAATTTTTTGAAATGGGAAATCTAAAAAATCACGATTTTTTAGCTTTTACAGAATAAGCATTGAGCACAAGTCAATTCAATACCTGCAGCCAGATGTATTTTTCGGAAGCTTCGTATTCCCGCGTTAGCTCCTCCTGGTAGCAGTGTCGCTGTAAAAAGCAGAGGTTGATTTGATAGCATCGGGGTCGGGAGTAACTGCATAGGTATAACTGCAACTTAACACTACAAAATATTGCCTAAAATCTCACCTCCTCATAGTGAAATCATACAATTGGTTTCGTTACTGGCTAGATATTTAGCTCGCGCCTTGCTGGGAGGGTGTTTGAACACCCCCTGAAGTTTTTCACGAATATCTCAAAAACGGCGGCGCGAAGCGCTGCCGTTTTTTGATACACTTTATCATAAAACTTTTCTACATATGTTGTAAAAATTTCAGACCCAGGTCACTTACAGTCAGGTCACCAGGTCAGGTCAACTGACCTCACTACATACAAAGTTGCAATGTAAAGCTACATCGAGTGACCGATCGCTTTGAAACTTTCAGCGATTGATAAGAGCAACAGTATGTACAAAATGTTTATCTTGAAATTTTGATATCGGTGACCTAAGGTCTGGTCAATTTTGCGACCTCCCATTCAAACCTAAGTCAAGGGGAGAAAATTGAAAGTCGCCTCTTTTCGACGGAAGTCATCATAAACACTCTAAAACACTGAATTACCAATATCTTTGACACACGGAACATAAAAATTGCACCCATGGCCGCTTTTTATGCCCCTGAGGTCATCTCAGGTCACCATTGGTATCTGACAGTTTTTCGCGAATATCTTTTGATAGAGGCATGCTAGAGCGATGAAAACACCTTAGTTGTGTTCGGCTCGACGATAAGGATCGACTGATATGCAACTTGACCCTCACTGGTCAGGTCATGACCTTGACCTGAGGTCAAATGTTTAAGTTGACTTTTCACAGTCAAATGATACTTCATTCAACGCATCTTCACGAGAGGAACACGATGCTGGTAAAAGAAAGTTCGTGTAAGGTTTGAGTCAAAAGTTATTGCAGGAAAACTGTTTCCGAAAAAATCGGCTATTTTGGCAGTTTTGTCCCCTGCAGGCAAAACCGTCGACGGTAGGTCAAATCTGAGAGGATTATTCAGAAAGAGCGTTAATACGAGTAGGGCTATCAAATGCGCTTTTTCGTGGCGCTGTAGCTTTATTAGCTTACGAGCTGTGCGTCGATTTGTTGAAAATTGTTGAAATCTGACCTACAAATCGACGAATTTTGGCATTCAATGACCTCTGGTGACCTGGCCTTTGACCTGACCAAAAAGTGACCAAGTGATTACCTACTTCCTTATTTATGACGCTTTTTCGAAGGCCGTCTTTCCGTATCGCTATACGTGGCCCAAGAGCCGAGTTAGAAGGGTGGGGGGAGTTCAAACACCCCAGCCCCAGAAGGGCGTGGAAATCCAGGACCCCAGCGGGGCGCGGGTTAACTCAGGCACTTATACGGGGGCTCAGAGGGTCGGATGGTACCACCTCTGTTTTTCGTGAATAACTCTAAAAAAGCAGCCGATGGCGACAAAACTTTCAGTGCCCACAGTTAGGCGCAGATGACATTTGACCTGTATAGTGTATCTCAAGACAGTCACGCCGGAATTGCAACGAACATAGGTACCTAATCTGTGCGTTTCCAGACTTTCGTTTAAAGTCAGAAGTTATTATGAGTTATGACGTTAATTATACCTATGCTAATAAGTGAACCTGACGGCGATTTCAAATAACTGACTCTGACATAACTCATCGAAAGAAGTGCAGAAGTTCACAGTAGATCTTTCCACTCACCTGCCGTATTGTACAGCTGACAGGTACCGTTCGTGTGGTACGTGAACCCTTTACAGAGACCCGACGCTGCCGCTTCACATTTGACCGCACAGGTCAACTCCGAGGTCGCCAAAGCGGTGGTCGCGGCGGCTCCGGTGAATGTGATACTCTCTCGTCGGAATGCGCCTGCTACTTCGGACAGATTTTCAACCCAGATGGATGTCAAAAACAGAGGTATAATTATATTTAGAAGAGCCATGCCAGAATGATTGGTGAAGTGGGCTCTTTCGGCCCTGTGTGTATGTCTGTCTGTACCTGTGTGCACAGCGGCGAGCTTTGCTTGTACGAAGGTGCGACGGTGACTGCCTATAGGTGGCCTTGGTCAAAGAGCTTTGGCGCTCCGACGGAGGTTGCTAAGACACCAGTACTCAACGTCGACCGACAGCCAATAGGACAGCGGAATTAAGTCGCGGTCCAGACTGCAGCGCCCGTGGTCGTTGATAATGTAAGAAATAATGTTTCAGAGGTATCGCAGTCGTGAAATATAGTTTGTACATACATGTAGCTCGGTTCATACAGCGTTGAACTCCGGAAGGCGGAACCCGGTTTGAGTCGCTCCGGCGCTCGATATTGAAGCTCCTGATGTGGATGGTCTGGCGGTTGGTGGACACGGGACTGCCACTGGCTTGTGTGAGCAAAACTGAAGGACACCGCGGTTACAGTTATCGCATCAAAACTTCGCTATTCTCTCATTAAAGAGAGAATAGCGTCTAAGCCCTCAGGCAACCATTTTCCTCGGTATCGGTGGAAATCGGGAGAGACTGACGTCCAACCTCTGCTCTAGCGTCCCCCTTCATGACGGAGATGAGTGAAATGACATTTGAGGGCGGGGATCGCCAAAACAGGGTGTTTCCTGGCCCGGATGCCTGCTAAGCTCAGCTTAGCGCTTAGCGACACGGACCTGAGGCCTATGCTGACCTTGCACTGTTTGTTTTGTTTTGTTGGGTTAGGCCCCTGGCCCTTTCGGTCTGACAAGACCATTTCAGAGCCGGAAGGATGATAGGAATTAGGGAGAGACATTGGTCTCGGCAGACACCCTAGAGAGCCGCCAGGGCTGAGCCCGTCCGAATGGACAGGCCGACCAGTCCTCCAACCACTCACTGCACCCGGCTACGGGGTGCGCTCCCTCGGGAGCAGCGGTGCCGCTCCAAGGGAGCAGCCCGCATGAGATATATGTAGGTGCCTGTCCAGCCCGGAGCCTGAGGGTTGCGGCGTGGAGAAGAAGGATTTCAGTATTCTGAGGATGGAATCGACGGAAACGGAGACCTTGCACTGTCTTTGCCACCGTCTGTTATATACTCTGCTGCGACCCACGTCCCCTCCATCTTGACCCCTGTCCTTTCTGACCTGACGCCGCCCCTGTCACCGCGTCCTCTGTGACCTGGCAACGCCCCTGCTGCGCTCCGAGCTGTGCCCTGAGGTTTTGTTGGGTCGCTCTACTTATTCAACAATTCTGTAGAATTAACATTTATTAAGCAAAAAAAAAAAAAAAACGTTCAGCTAAACTGATCAATCATGAGTGGAACCACGTACTCGTATTCATGTCGTCATCAGCGAACCTTGCAAGATAAGCGTAGCCGGCACCGTTACGAGCTGCTGAGATCGAGGTCTGCGGTGATGTTTTTTTATTAATTTCAATGATTTTTCAGTGTGCTTTTGACGTTATAGCGGAAAATTGTGTGGCGTCGCAATAATCCAGTTTGTGACGCCACAATGAGGCTCGGTGACACTCGGCTTTGTTCTAGGCCTGGAGCTGACAAATAAATGCCTTCTGCTCACTGCAGGAAGTGTCGTCCCAGCCCTTACTCACAGACCAGATCTGCACGCAGTTGTAAGTGATAGCAGAGTTGGGCTCCCCGGCACCCCAGAAAGGGATGTCCACGGTCGTCATGGGCTCTCCTCCGTCCTCTGCCACGAACACTCCGTCCTCGCCATGCTCTGACAGTCCGATCCAGGCGTCAACTCCAGCCGCCATGGTCAGAACGCACTGGTTCTCCTCTGCAGAGCGGGGCACGGCCAGGTGGGCGCCCAGCGAGACGCAGGCGGCTTTAGCTTCGGTAAAACCGAGCTCCTGAGGGGGTCGGATCAGACAGCGGCCGGCACAGCGGCTGAAGTCACCCGGACAGGCGCAAGACACCGTAGAGCCATCTGCAAACAGTCCAACATTCAACAGTCTCACATAGTGACATGCATGGGAATCCATTTCATTAACGGAGAAAATCCGAGTCCATGCCGTCACCATGATGATAGTATCTGTATTATTTGCAAGGAATAGCCGAACATAAGCAATTCGAGAAGCAAGCAAATGGGAAGCAATTTAGACTATGAATACTACATTATTAAAGGTTACCCCATAATTTTGACTTTTGTAGGTACATGGGAAATCTAAAAAGTCACGATTACTTTAGCTTTTACAGAATAAGCATTGAGCACAAGTCAATTTAACCCTATTAGTGGCAGGCTCCTGGCTACCCCATATTAGTGGCAGGGGGGGGGGGGGCTGTTTACGACCCCCCCTTGATATCTCGAGATCTAACCGGCCGATTTTCAAAATTCAAACGGCATTCGATTTGACTCAACGAGATCTACATTTCTAAAAAAAAGAAAATAAAAAATGTCAATAGGGGGGTAGAGGGGGGTAAAAACGGGCAAATTGCAGATACATTTTAGACTGTTTATCACGGCCAGGTTTCTGAACCAATCTTAACGCAACTTTTGCCGATCGATAGAGAATGAACCAGGAATTTACATGGATCCTAAAAATATGCATTTTCAAAAATCATAGGCGGATACAGATCGTTGAGATTGGGGGTACACAAAAAGTATAGTAAATAAGGTTTTTGTTGGTACTGTTTCTAAAAAGGGTGGCAATGGTCTTGTTATGTTACAATTTTCTTATGAGAGAACGACTAAAATTGTATTGGTCATGCATAGGCGGTGTCAGGGCACCTATGTTGGGAGGTAAAAAATAACCCCCCTTTTTGGACGCCTGGATCCGCCTATTATAGCAAAAACGTGTCAAAAGAGGATGCACAATAACTTTGTATATGTTATCACATGATACCTTTCATTCACTGTTCGTAAAACTGGTGCAGCATCGTGATCTTCGCCCAAATGACTCGCTTCACGAATAGGACCCCCAATTCCCAGTGCTCTGGAGCCGCCCCTGGTAAAGTTATGAACTTGAAATTTTCAGGGAATGTGCCCAATTTAGTTTTAGGAAAAGTCAGAAAATGTCAGCATCGTAGCTTCAGCGGTTTCGGAGATATTCCCGAAAAACCTGAGGGGTGGATAAAAACAACCCCCCCTGCCACTAATAGGGTTAATACCTGCAGCCAGATGTATTTTTCGGAAGCTTCGCATTCCCGCGTTAGCTCCTCCTGGTAGCAGTGTCGCTGTAAAAAAGCAGAGGTTGATTTGATAGCATCGGGGACGGGAGTAACCATGCATAGGTGTAACTGCAACTAAGTAAGTACCTAGTACAAAATATTGCCTAAAATCTCACCTCCCCATAGTGAAATTATACAATTGGTTTCGTTACTGGCTAGATATTTAACCCGCGCCTTGCTGGGGGGAGGGTGTTTGAACACCCCCTGCAGTTTTTCACGAATATCTCAAAAACGGCGGCGCGAAGCGCTGCTGTTTTTGATACACCTTATCATACAACTGTTCTACATATGTTGTGAAAATTTCAGACCCAGGTCACTTACGGTCAGGTCACCAGGTCAGGTCAACTGACCTCACTACATACAAAGTTTCAATGTAAAGCTACACCGAGTGACCGATCGCTTTAAAACTTTCAGCGATTGACAAGAGCAACAGTATGTACAAAATGTATATCTTGAACTTTGATAGCGGTGACCTAAGGTCAGGTCAATTTTGCGACCTCCCATTCAAACCTAAGTCAAGGGGAGAAAATTGAAAGTCGCCTCTTTTCGACGGAAGTCATTATAAACACTCTAAAACACTGAATTACCAATATCTTTGACAAACGGAACATGAAAATTGCACCCGTGGCCGCTTTTTATGCCCCTGAGGTCATCTCAGGTCACCAATGGTATCTGACAGTTTTTTCGCGAATAACTTTTGATAGAGGCATGCTAGAGCGATGAAAACACCTTAATTGTGTTCGGCTCGACGATAAGGATCGACTGATATGCAACTTGACCCTTACCGGTCAGGTCATGACCTTGACCTGAGGTCAAATTTTTAAGTTGACTTTTCACGGTCAAATGATACTTTATTCGACGCATCTTCACGAGAGGAACACGATGCTGGTAAAAGAAAGCTCGTGCAAGGTTTGAGTCAAAAGTTACTGCAGGAAAACTGCCTCCGAAAAATCGGCTATTTTGGCAGTTTTGTCCCCTGCAGGCAAAACCGTCGACGGTAGGTCAAATCTGAGAGAATAATTCAGAAAGAGCGTTAATAAGAGCTGGGCTATCAAATGCGCTTTTTCGTGGCGCTGTAGCTTTATTAGTTTCCGAGCTGTGCGTCGATTTGTTGAAAATTATTGAAATCTGACCTACACATCGGCGACTTTTGGCATTCAATAACCTCTGGTGACCTGGCCTTTGACCTGACCAAAAAGTGACCAAGTGATTTCTTCCTTATTTATGACGCTTTTTCGAGCGCCGTCTTTCCCGTATCGCTATACGTGGGCCGTGGCCCAAGAGCCGAGTTAGAGGGGGGGGGGGGGGGCTAACTCATCGAAAGAAGTGCAGAAGTTCACAGTGGATCTTTCCACTCACCTGCCGTGTTGTACAGCTCACAAGTACCGTTCGTGTGGTGCGTGAACCCTTTACAGAGACCCGACGCTGCCGCTTCACATTTGACCGCACATGTCAACTCCGAGGTCGCCAAAGCGGTGGTCGCGGCGGCTCCGGTGAATGTGATACTCTCTCGTCGGAAGGCGCCTCCTCCTTCAGCCAGGTTTTCTCTCAAAATGAATATCACGAACAGGCAGATGAATAAATTTAGCAGGGCCATGCTCTCTTCCCTGTTGGATGGTGTTGGCTAACTTGCCTGGCGTTGTGGTTCCGGCGGTATGCACCTCGATGTTCTACCGTGCGATGTTTCCCCTAAGAAATCGTAGCAGTGTCTGTGTGTTACGGGGCCCTCGCTACCGCAAGTGGGTACCTACCTTGTCACGTCAACGGCGGTTGCTAGCCCAGCGGTCAATTCTGTGGCTTCCACTTCCAGCCAATGGGAAGGCGGTATAAACTATAAATGCAGTCAGCGGCAGTCAGTGGTAACCGCCAGGCCCGAGTTCACCATGGTAGCTGATGACCATGGTTTTGTAGGTTGTTTACAGGGCTGCGGAGTCGGAGCCGGAATCGGTCGGAGTCGGAGTCGCCAAAATTTTACCGACTCAGAGTCGGGGTTATCGTTGCATGATCGCTCAACGTTATACCGTGCACCTTTTTGATCGACGATATCGTTGACCTCTCGAAATCAGGTTTTGTCGTAAAAAACGTTCATACCTATTCCTGTTTTGAGCGAGCGTTTTCAGCGACAGAAGCAGAAGACGACGGATTCGCCAGAGCCTACTTTTAATTCTGCATGCTATTTGTAAAGCATATTTGCAATGCAAGGCCTCGGAGCGGACAAAGGATCGTTTCAGGCAGAATGAAAATATCTCCACTATGAACTCCACTATGCACGATGAACTCCTGGCAGGCGGTAGGCCTCCCGGCCACCTTCCGCGCGGTGGGGTGGGGGTGGGGGTGGGGGTGGGGGGTCATTTTTTACCCACCGAAACTGCTTCTATATATCGGAGCTCCGAAACTGCTCGACGGATCCGTAAAATTCAAACGGCGTTCGATAGCCCTGTCAAATTTGTTAAAGGAAACTGAATTTCATTCACCTCGGGGCCACCGATGACGTCACAGGTCAGGTCAAAGGCAAAATGTTTCACCGTTCACGGTTCTTCAATAGGGAATGCGCTATAACATCGAGTAAAACGCATTTTGTCGAAAATCAGCGATAGGGCGTCAGTTGCCTAGTTAGTACATACGCTACTACTAGAGGTCACTGATAATACCAGGTCAGGTCACAGGTCAGGTCAACAAGGGTCAGCACATGAACCCAACTTTACTTAGGTTGAGCGATGCATGTTTTATGTCCAGTTTTTCATTTCCAACTCAATGGTTTTGGTTGTAAAACCATCAGGTACGGGTAAGGTCACTTTCTGGTGGAGGTCAGGTCAACGTCAGGTAAAAAAGGTCAAATTTCGAAGTTGATAGGCATTTTTGCATAAAATGGGTACCTATTGATTCGATGCAGCTCGCCACGGGGAGTCTAATGGTGGTCTTTGTTTTGCGCTACGAGTTCTCAAAATTGCTATAAAAATTTAGTTTGAAAATTAGACGTCATCAATTTTGAACAGCTTTTTTCGCTATAGCATGGCGAAAAAAGAGGTGTCGATTTCAGCTTTGGTATGTGGATAGTAGGTGGTAGGGACTATCACAATTCCCATATATTCCAGTTTTTTCGAAATTAAAAAAAAACTTTTTCGATTTTTCGGCTATTAATCCGCGCGCCAACTTAGAACCGACGCACACTGGTCGGAAACGCTCCAGCGAGAGGCCAGTGGCCTTTCCGCAAAAGTTTTTTGCTTGCTATTCCACAACTAGTGAAGCAAACTTCATAAAACTTTGCATACCTTCTCTGTCATATGTAAGCTATCATTTGGATGTCAAGCACTAAATATATGACGTGAATCTGTTAAGTTATGACGTCATAATTGAGTATAATACAGGATCTAGCACCACTTTAAGTCAACAAGGGAAATTGGGAGCTGCTATTCGGGCACCGGGAATGGTTTCATGCACTCCTTGCAAGGTCCAGTGCTTGACTTTAGCATTGTTGATTTTGCGTGACGTCATTTATGACGTCACTAAGGCCATGTAAGTTTTTCGTCAATAACTCCTGATCAGATGGAGCTAGAGAGTCGGGAAAGCCACCATTGGACTCAGGAAGACCTGCCGAATCGAATGATATGCGATATGACCTCCTTCAACCATTTTCGTGACCTGAGGGGCTCCGACCTGACCTTGACCCGAGGTTAACACCTTAACCCTCGCCGGCACAGGGGGATGCAACCCCCCCCCCCCTAAGGTTTTTCGCGAATAACTCGCGTAAAAAGCGGCCGATCGCGACGAAACTTTCAGTACCCTCGCATTGATCAATTTTACACCTAACCTAAAAATTTCATGACCCTGACCCCAATGACCTTTGACCTATGACCTCTTTTCCGTGACCATGTTTGGCCGAAATCGCGATTCGGCGTATGTCGGCTCGCATTAGCCGCGCGTTTGCAAGCTTTTCGTGGTTTCAAACGTTCAAACATGTGATTTGATGTTGCTCCCATACATTAGGATGGGTGTCAAGGTCACCTGAAGGTCAGGTCAGGTCATTGACCTTTGGTGACCTCGGGTGACCTCGGTTCACTTTTTCGAGTTTTACATGTTTCTAGGCTAGTTTTTGGAGCTGAATTCGAATTTAGCAACCATTTGAACATTTACGAAGTAGTTTTGGCGCCTTCGTAACATGTTACGAAGCTGTCAGAGGTGGTTGACACGTATTACGAATACCCGTCACAACCCCTACCGGTTGACCTGACCTGACCTGACCCGACCTGGTCTAAATGCTTAAAGACATCATCTCTGATCAAAACTAATACGATATTCGTGATCAGCACCCCGGAAAACCACATAGCAGCCACAATTTACGACTTTCTAACAGGTCCCGATTTTCCAGGTTTTCGGGTCATTGACCTGACCTGGAAGGTCACCCGATGACCTAGGACCAAAATTGGGTATCATCGGCTTCCTCTCGTGACGGGCAACACGCTCGTTTTTTTCCACGAGGCTCTAGCTCGATCAGGGGCCAAACGCGAGGGGGGGGGTCGTACCCCCCCCTTGTGCCGTCGAAGGACGCAAAATGGCCTGTGCCGGCGAGGGTTAAGTTGACTTCACCCGAACACCAAGTATAGCATTCAACGCGCCTGAGCTAGACAAACACGATTATGCCAAAATCGCGGCAGTGCGACTATTTTTGGCAAAGTAATTAACCTAAAACCGAGCCCGTGCCTTGTGGCACTTACCTGACCTAAGAGGTCACTGGCTGACCTAAGACCTTAAAATCGGGTAGTACCTAATTTTTGCGTCTTATAACGGCACACAAGCGTGTTATTTTTTCCGCGAGGCTCTAGCTCAATTACAGGCGCAACGGCGAGGGAGTTGTACCAACCCTCCCCGGTCAATGTAGAAAACCAATCGGTCCGGCCAGGGTTAAATAGGTACCGGAATTGTGATATAATGTAAAAAGACGGCCCAAGGTAACCCGACGTCAGTGACAGGTGTCCTATATTTGCAGCGTCTTATATTCACGAAGGTTTCAATTTCCACTTTCTTCAGCCGAGTGATGGTTGTCAATAGCAAGGCTCTCTAAATGCAAGCCGTAATCGCCACGCAATATGTGGAAGGCTTTTGATGTCAATACATACATAAATGCATACATAAAACGCGCTTTTCACAAAATTCATAAACTCAAGCGCATCTGTTTTTAATGACCAGTCAACTACGCATGGATGCGTGCAGGCCACACAGGTCAGCGTAAGCCGGGCGCGGCGGCCGAGCCGAAACTGGGGCGGGGCGGGCGGTAGTTGGGTAGGAAGAGCGGCTCCTGCAAATTTTGCGCAAAAATGCGCAGTTAGCTTTTATGTTGCCCTGGTGTAAATTTAAATCCTACTTCATCTCACAAAAAATCAGAGTGGAACTAGATGGGACTACCTGTTGTTTCCTTACCTTAACTTTGCAGTTATATTCCAGAATCACTGTAGGAGAGCCTTCATAAAAAAGCTATAGTACATCTTAGTTAGGGAAAAAGTATACCAAAAATTTTGCACTGACCAGTCGGCAACTTCATAACGAACATTTTGATGCATAATATGTGGGATTTCAATTTGGTGTCTATCAGCAATAAGACTCTGAATATCCGGCTCAAGAAACCTCTTGCTCCGCGTCAGTTTCCGAGTTCTGGGATAACCCATCTTCGGGGGCTGATTACAGCTATTTTTGGTCACCCGGATTAGTTTTTTTTGGCCTAAGTATAATAATTTGATCAATTTCAAATCGATCTATATAAAAAATAATCCGAAACTCCGGAATCGCCCGTGGCCTCTCGTGAGGGCGTTTCCGACCAGTGTGCGACGGGGGGGAGGGGGGTGCGGATGACCGCCCCGCCCCTGAGATCTCGAGAACGAAGCAAGATAGCGACAAGCGGTAAGCGGCATCGGATACGCACGGACAAGGTCTACAATTTTTACAAAGGTCATTTACAGGTCAGATCAAAGATGACGTCACAGGGGTAAAACAAAGTCAAAATGGCGGCGCTAGATATGAAGTTTTCTCGAATAACTTTCGAATTAGTCCAGATAGGAACAAACTAAGGGCATCATCGTGATCCTCTCGTCAATCCGCATCGACATGATATATATATATATATATATATATATATATATATATATATATATATATATATATATATATATATATATATATATATATATATATGTTGACCTCGAAAGGTCAAGGTTAAAGGTTGACCTCAGACCTCGAGGCTCGAGGTCATCATATATATCATTCGATGCTTCTTGACGAGCTGAACACAATGAGACCATCCGCGCGGCTGTATCTTGTTCCTGTACGGAGTTATTGGCAAAAAACCTTTGGTGACCTTTGATGACGTCACATGACCTTACAGCAGCCCAACAGCAAAACATACCTCAAGGTAGTGAAGGTTGATCGTATATGAAGTCATTTATGGTATATGGGGCCATTCCCACCCGTTTTAGTGGTAAAAACAGGGAGTTGATTCCCCCCCCCCCATTGACTTATGTATAATGGGGAGGTCGAGAAATTGACCTGACCTTAGGTCATCGATATCAAAATTCCGAGATATATAAATTGTAGCTACTAATGACCTAATAACATCCTGCGACTTTCAAAGGCCTCTGACATCTACTGTAGCTCTGGCACGGTGACAAATTTGCAAAAAAGTGACTTGAGGTTGGGTC